AGCAGGGAGCCCGATGCGGGGCTCGATCCCAGGACCCTGGGATCGTGACCTGAGCCGAAGGCAGACGCTCAACGACTGAGCCACCCAGGCGCCCCGAGCCTTTACATTTCTTAAAGGACACTGAATTGGATATTGATTTGATTTTCTTTTATGCCCCTGATAATCTCAGGAGGTGGCCACTGCTCAATGAAATTCCCCCGGCTCAGTTTTTCGCGAAGGCTGCAGACATGACGGAGGCTCGGCATGTGCCCCAAGCAGCACACACAAGTGTGGGGTAGGCGGCCTTGGAGAACATTTGCTGGGAAAGCTCCTACTTTTTATTTTATTAAAGAAATCTTGTAGTAGGTATCTCTGCCTGCAGCATGAAGATGGATTTAGCCTCCCTCCTTGCCAGCAAACCTGGAAGAACCCTGAAACATGAATATTTATTTTATTCTAAACAGATTCAATTCTGAATTTCTAAACTATCTTCCCACACATTCCCAGGGAGACCAGCAGATTCAAGTGTTCTACAAAGTAAGGTTCAAAGTGATAGTAAGGACCCTGGTAGCAGAATTTTATCGTGTGTTTTCTCTCTGCTTTAGTCATTCAGGAAGCTTTTCCTGAACTACCACTCAGGGACAGGGAATGGTGTGGGGTGCTACTTTTTCTGTTTAGTTTTTGTTTCTTGTTTTTGTTTTTTTAATTTCCAGTTGGTATTTCCTTTTCTCATATGCAGCTACTTAATCCTTACTCTAACAAAACAGAAAAGCCTTTATCATCAGCTTTTATCTGGTAGCGTCCTAATGGCCCTAGACCAAAGAGTTTCTCCTCAGGTGCTCAGGAGGCCCTGCCTTGTAGGGAACTCCCAGGCATCCATTTACTGAGGCCAAGGGCACGCCCCCTCGGGGAGCGGCCCGTGGTACATGCAGCTTAGAATACAGCTTTGTTACCGTCCTTGCACTAGAGACAGGACAATTAGGTGGCAGATGTCTTTGATGAGTGACACTATCAATAGAGGCTCTTGGGAGATTTTTCCTAGGACACAAAGGCCACTGTGAGCAGGCGTGTCCAGGAAAGCAGGCTGCGACTTGGCCAAGTAAGTTCATTAGGTGACCTACCTACCTCCAAAGAAATGTCAAAACACTAGCAATGACTGCTTTATCTTAAACCCCTGGACATAACTCAGTTTTACCATTCCTCTCTTCCATGCCAATATTTTGTGTTGTTTCCTGCACATTCCCTATCAGTAAATGTCTAAAATTATTTTTAACTGTGCAATGTTAAAGACTTTCTCCATAGATTCAGAAAAGAGGGTAGCAAACACGAAAACAAGTTCAGAATAAGCCAACCTACCTAGATACACAGACCCAACAGCACCACGTTGTTAAAACCTCAGCTCTACTCTACACTCCCCCCAAAGCAGTACCCTTCCTAAAAAGCCAAACATCACACCCTTCTTCTATTTGCTAAGAACATCTTTCATATCAGAATAAACACACTGTAGATGCTATCCAAAGCAGATTCTAAAATGACATACTAAGAAGCCAGACTTTGGTCATCAGACAACAGAAACACCACTTCACCCTTACGTGCTCAGTTAAAACAACCTCGCAAAAACCACACCCATCTAGGCAATCCATCTGGTCCCAGGAAGGAATACCTTATTTTGAAAGCATAGGACACAAATCAATGGGAAATGTCAATGCTCTGAGCAACACAGAGTAAGTGTAAGATGGCCATAAAAAAGAAATCCCAATTCCCACATTGGAGCAGCAAAAATTTGAGTATGAAAAATGAAGTATAGGAGTCCAAACTCTCATTATTAATATTTTCTTCATACAGCATTTGTCAAATTATACAACCTTGGGGTCTTTTGAGTTGCCTGAACAATCTTTATGAAGATTAAACCCCCCCCCCAAATGGGGGCTCAAATTTCTAAGTACCCTACATTCAAAACTTTAGGGTCTGAAAGGAGATCTGGAATCTGTTATTACCGAGATCCCAGGCAAAGGACCATCCTTGCAGTCTTTGCCAGCTCGCCAATCCATGCCTTTGTTCTTTAAACACAGAAGGGGAAAAAATTAAAAAGCAAAACACCCTATTCTATAGGAATTTTCCTTTCACAAATAACTTGATAGGTAGAAATAAACTTGCCTGCCTGCTCTTAAGAAATGCCAGACTGCTGTAAGGGAATGCAAAGGGCATGGTGCCCAGAACCGTGCTTAATAGGACTGTGAATGTTTTCTCCTAACCCAAAGTACAGCAGACCTCTTCTAGTTTAACTATGGGATGCTTTGAAGGCCCATCCCCTGCTAGTCTGAATCGCTTTGCTTCAGCTTCAAGCAAAAGACCATTTCCAACAGAAGTGAACTTATTTACTATAATTCTTCCTCAGGTGCTAGGCCTTTCTTGCAATGTACAGAAAATATGCATGTTTTAGTGGGATTTACTGTTTTGGCTTTAGAGTCAAAGAGATTAGTTCCATGAAGTTCACCTGGTTCCCCATAGCAAGTGTATTTTATAACCCTACAATTCTAAATCCAACCCCGAGCATCAAATCAAATTCACAGATAAAGGGGAGCTGGTAGGGAAGGGTCTTGGTTATTTCCATTTGTGACCAAAGTGGCCAAAGATAGGAAACTCCCTTTCACTTGATGAACACCACTGCACCATATGAAACGTCAGTTCCCCAGGACCATTCTGTGACCTAATCAGACTCTCAGTGCGTGCCAGGAGCACACACTTTTCATGGCCTGTTTCAGCATTTTCCTTCAGAGAGTACTGAGATTTCTCGCTGAAGCAGCTTTGTTAGTCAGACATTTTCAGATTTTATATTTATGTTTAAATACATTAGACGGCCTAATGAAGCAACATGAGTCTAATGGGGGTTGGGGGGGTGTGAATTCTGACTTTATGTTATGGCTTTCTTTGTGTGTGTTTTTCTTGGTGGGTTCTTGGTGAGTACCCTGGAAGGTTGGAATTCTCTGAAGTCATAGCCATACAACCAGATAGGGTTAGGAAAAGCCAGATAAATGCAGGAGAATAAAATTAAACTGTCAAAGTCCCAGGAACAGCCCTGACTTCTTCAGGAACCCAAGCAAATTGAAAGCAAAGATGAACTGTACAAATGGTGCCCAGGCCATTTGACTGGGGGTAGCCCACTGGATTTGGACACTGCCATTTTCCTGGC